ATTCATTATTCATCGAAAAAAAATTTTTCTTCAGATAATAATGTCCTTAATGTATATTATTTATTAAAACAAATAAAAGCCTATCTAATTATCAAATTAGATAGTTTATTGCAGTTTTTATTTTACAATTTGGAGCAGATTTTTAAAAAGTTGGCAGTAGTTGTGAAAAAAAAAAAAAAATTGATGATTTAATTTCTCCAAGGTGTCATGCTTATAAGTAATACAAAACAATTTGCGAACTAATTATGTGTGTGCAACAGATGTAAAAAAAAATATTTTTACCAAGATATTCTAAAAATAAATTAATTCATTTTTGAATAAGTTCTGAAAGTTTCATTAAAATCAGACAATTATTTGATTTTTGCGAGAATTTCCAAATTAATGGGTTTTCTCCCTGAAAGTGCTACACTAAAATGGCCATTACCACAAGTATTACAAAAGAAAAAAAAAAATTTTTTTACCCAAATTTAGAAATGTGTTAGAAAGAAGGAAAAATTATTTTTAAATATTTTAAAAATACTTTGTTCTTTCCACTTAAGAATAACAAACATTTTAATGATGAAACTTTGTTTTTATTAAGTTTTATCATTATGCTATACTGATTTTTTACCAAATTATTGGAGGTACCTACTCTTATGACATCATCAAAATTTGAGTGGAGAGTTGCTGAAGAAATGCACTTCCATTGAGAAATGATTAAGTGCTATGGTTAAAGCAGAAGGTGGCCATTTTGAATTGTAAATATATGTAAAATATTGTCAGTAAATATAATCAGCCATTAAAACTTTCATTAACTCAAACCTAAAACATCTTATGACCAAATGAATAATGCCACACCCAGTAGATGGACAATGGCATTCAGAAAGTTAGGGCAGCGACACTGTCAACAAGATTTTAAATTTTATTAATGCCTTTAAGACTATAATTACAAAGGACACATCCAAGTATAAGACAGCTGTCAAGCTGAAAGTGGACCATCATATTAGCCATGCATGACAACCTGGGCCTTAAATCATACACCTTATCCATGAAGGCTGGAAAGATGCAAGAAATTGCTCAGGTAACTCACTAATTATGAGCCTGCTATTAAATAATCTCTAACAAAAAAATCTTCATTGGGGACACATTTTTTTAGCCACTGCAGAGTCAACAGTTGATGTCAAGGGAACTTCCAAGGACCAAACCTCCAGCCCAGGTTGGGTATTATGACCAACAATAAAAAGATGGTTCATTCTTTTACAAGCTTGGTGAAAAGGTTGAAGTAGATGCCTACTATGAGTTTCTGAGGTAGCATGTTTTGCCATGAGTCAAAGCCAATTATCCATAAGGTAACTATATATAAAACAAGGACAGTGCTCCCAGACACATGCCAAGGTGTAGAAGTTCTGCAAAATTAACTCTGCTAATCTCCCATCTGCAGACTTTTGCCCCTCCTTCAGCCTTGACATGAACAGATTAGACTACACCATTGTGATACTATTTGTCGTTGCCACAGTAAAATGGAAGAAAGTTAAAACAAAAGAATGTGTTATGTACTGAGAGACATTGAAACAAGAAGGGTTAATACCAAAAACCTGTGGGAAGAAATGAGGATTTAATTCCCACATAAATGACTTGAATTGTATGTGAAGCAGTCTGAACAATGGAAAAGTGACCCAGACTTAGGGGGTGATGTTAATTGACACACAGCTGCAAATGTAAGCTGTGAAGCAAAACTTTCATCTTTCGTAAACAACAGTTTTGGAGATGATTCTCCTGATTGAAAGTGGAGTTGAAATACCAGGAGGTAGGGGTGGATAAGTCACCCATGCTCACTGAAGAGATTTAGTGAGAGGTAATAAGATGAAAGATTGGAAGAAGGGATACCCATAGAATTATCAAAATCCCTTGCATCATGCCAGTTTGAACAAATGTCAATAAATATGAATACACAGAGTGAAGAAGAGAGGCCCATGTGATTATCTGTCAATGAAAGCCTCCAACTTCAGCCTTGTGCCAAACTTTACCAACAGCAGCAAACCAGATTTTGCCTGGTCAACAACCATAATATCCCTTCCAATTTAGATACGGGTTGGGCTGATAATTAATTGCATGCAAACTCTGATACAAACCAATTATTGTACAGAGGATGGATATAAAAACAGTATTTACTTTTGTTCAATTTATTCAAGTGTTATTTATTTTTTTTCCTGTACATCATCACCCTGCTTGGACCAGCCGAACACAAAGATACCTGTGACAATTCGAACTTGGCTGCCTTATGATCAAACTTAAATCACAACGTGGGATAAGGTTAGCTCTGGATTGAAGTTGTCACTTCTTCAGCAACCGGCTATGGTGTTAGAAGTCTTGGACGACTGCGGAAGATGTTGTACGCTTACACCATGAGGAGAGGAGAGACGTTTTGGAGAAGGCCATAAACAAGACCTCCTGCTCCAACATCTTGATAGAACTCAAGAAGTGAACTAATTGCCCAAGGACTTCATAATTAAGAGTTACACAGTTTCTCAAGGTCGTGTTGACATTGTAATTGAAAATAGAAGCCACATTGAATAAATTATTCATTTTTTTTTTTCTTCTATGAATTTTATTAATATCCTTTTGTAGTAATTAGCCTATTTATAGATAAGCATATTTTGCAAGTCACGGGAATCTTTGTTTTGATTCCCCACTCTGGATGGAAACATAAGTAAATGAGTGGTAACTAACCATTAGAATTAAGTGTGTGAACAAATCTGTTTGAAGAAATAGACACTGATGTAGAAGCAGGCATTTATGACCAGACTATTTTACATACCTACATACCTCTTCATCCCATTTAAAAATGTCAGACGGTTTACAGCCATTAAAAAAATGTGCAAAAAGGGAATATATAATTATATAATCTTTTCCTGTTACTGTTTTTTTTCTTGATAGCTGCCTATGTCTCAGTTGCATCCTGTCCTAGTTGTAAACCTCCTATAATACACGGTCATCAGTCTACCAGCCTTTCTTGAGTATTTCTAAATATTGAGGTTTTTTAGGGGGGTGTATGTATGGATTCTGCAACACCATTTTCCCTTTTTGCTCAAATTTGAACATGAGGGTTGCAATACAGAAAAAATGTTTCAGACCTTACAAATTGAAAAACTAAATTCTTTTCTGTATCCACTGAGGATATTAAATTTTTAATGTGAATACCTACATGGGTCATATAAGATTTTGAAAATCTGTAGACAAGTGTAAAGTATTTGTTGTGTCTATTACCACAAAGATCAAATGTGATACAAATGCATTTTTCCAATGTTGAATTTTTTCATTACAAGTAAAAATCAGAAGTTTACAGAAACATTTGCAAAGTAAAAACATTATAAAATATAATACCTGTCAATATATTCTCCTCCACACATTATTTCCAATAAATATTTTCATGGTAATTGTTCTGATGAGTTTTCCTCTCTGGTATCTCAACTTTATGAATTTAAGTGCAGTACTAGATTGACAGCTAGGTCTCATCATTTTACAGTTGAAAAATCACTAGATGTAACCATAAGTTCTATGCTAACAGTTTTTTCTTTCACACTTATTGATAGTGGTTATCTTTTGATATCTTAATTCCTGTTCTTTTAATTATCTTTACTCCTTAATGTTTTTCTTTTTTCTCAGATTCTTTCAAATTCAGTAACCACTTGCATTTTAAAGGATTTATTGCTTTGCTTGTGGTTAAATGATTAAAAAAAACAAAAAAACAGAAAAATCATTTTGTTACAATAGTATGCTATTTCATAGGAAAAAATAACAATAGAATAAATAATTTTGCTGACTTAAAAAAAAAAATCATGAAATAAAACATCTTTTAGTTAAATCAGTAGAAATTTTATTTATACTTTGTAATCATGCAAGGTAATTATCAGATTTTGAAAAGTATTAAGAATTTTAAGATACAAAAATCACAATAATAAAAGCATGTTTTATTATTGAAGCTATATGCTCACATGAATATTTTCTTGTCCTTTATATAGTCATATTCAAAATACAGAACTCTTTTTTTAAAAATTGCCATAGATAGCTTTAATAATTAAAATATGGAATAAGGCAACAACACTTTAATATGTACATTAGTTCAGCTGTTTCAACTCCAGTTGAGCTAAATTTCGAAAAATATAAACAAGTAAGTTCTGAAACCAACAAGGTGGCTAATTCACAAATATTTATAGAAATTACTATATTCTAACTTCATTAAAGTTTTCATAATGCTTTTTTTTTTTTTTTTTTTTAGACAAGAAAACTTTGGACTCATATTAACCAAGTGCAACATTAAGGAAGGGAAATGTTATAGCCAAGTGTGCATGTGTTAGAAAAAAAATGTTATTTCAAGCAATGATTTTTGGCACTATTCTGAATGCATTCAGGTGAATGTAAGAAATAATTTTCAGGGAATATTGAACAAAAACTTTCGTTTTTAATCACATGCAGTTATCATGTTATGGTTTCTGGTAAATTTCATAGAACTATATAAAACAAAATGGTGATGAAAACATTGAGCAAGATCTAGCATTCTGTTCAAGATTCCAGAAGTTTACAAGATGCAACAGACACACAAGGAAGAGTTACACCAGCTAAAATAACAAATAAAAATGCAAGTACAAAATAAAATTTCAGACAAAAAGTGGCACTGTTACAGAATTTGACACAAGTCTAGAATAAATATATGGAAATCAATTCATGGTCAATGTTGACAGTGAATAAATCATGTTTGAAATCCCCTTGGTGCACTCTGCACATAACCAAAATCATTCATTTTTGGTTTTTTAATATATTACATCATGCTGAAAAGCATATTATTATTAAAAATAATATATAGTTTTTTTATAATGTTAATTTGTAGATATTTTCATCAAAAATATACAAAGCAAGATGATATCCTTATTCATTAACATAGCCTTAGGTTTGCTTCTTTGGAGTCAAGAGAAAGGATCTAACTAGAAAAAAAAAGGTTATAAGCAAACCAAACTACTTACTTGGGTTGAATATAGACCTTGTTGAGTGACTTCTTGAACTAAATCCTTTGTAAGGTGTTGTAGCCAAGTTGGCTGTGTGACCTGGAAAAATGTGAGCAGGCTAAAAATGTAGGTATGTTCAATAAAAACAAATAAAAATAACAAAAGGCCAATATTTGAATAAAACTATCACAAAAATCTCTCTTAACCATACAAAGACTATTTTGATAATTGTGAAAAACCAGAAACTAAATTATGTTCTATAGAAGAATATATCTGATGTGATTAATTTATATAAACAATTGCCAAACTAATGTGCTGACTGTTTCAGACTAGTAGTAATTAGTGATGGGAAGATTAATCGGTGTTGGAAAATTTTTTAACCTAACTTTTAATACCCAAAACAATTCTTTGGGTCTTTTTTTTATTTTTTTTGTTTAAAACTTAATTTTCCATTCCTGGTATGAATGATAAGATATAAATATTTACTGATTTTAAACTATCAGTAAAACAAAAATCTAGAGATCATAATAACACCTAAGTTAAATATGATGTAAATTTATTTTACTTGTATAAAAAAAAAAATGAATTATGTAAGTTTTTACTGTTCTTGAACTTTCCAAAAAGTTTACTATTTTAAAGCCTGTTTAGTTCGAAATAAATTTTTTATTTTTAATTTCTTTTTAAACATTGTTAATTCATCCATTTAATATAAATTATTGATTTAATAATTATTATTACAATTATATAATATAAACACTAAATGAATCCACATTGTTGTTCTGCTAAATTAAGTTTTTTGGGGTTTTTTTTTAAATCAACAGATGTTTTTACTGTGTTGTTGCACTTTTACTCTTTTTTAAACAAAAATAAAACACTGATACTTTTTAGAAATTATTATATTTTTTTTTATTTGTGAGAAATTTATTTTGGACAATAAAACTTATTAGTGATTAAATTTTTTAGATAATATTAAAGAAACTTTATTATTTATTAAGTTGCTAGGATAATTCATATTTAATTTTTATGAAACATCTGTAAGAAAAATTTTAAATTTGCATTTATTTTTATTCACTATCCTGTAGGATTAGGTACTCTTTGAAAATTATCAAAATATATGCACAAGTTAAACTACAATACATAGGATGATGCCTAGGCATCATCCTATGTATTGTGGTTTAACTTTGTGTGTGTGTGTGTATATATATATATATATATACACATATATATATATATATATATATATATATATATATATATATATATATATATTTATTTTAGGGTGTCTCTTATTTTTTTTTAAGCGCATGCTGAAATCATTCTCTCAATTGTTTAAACTCTTATCCAATTTTTTTTTTTTATAAATAAAAAGGATATTAACTTTATTTCATAAGCTTTTCAATTCATTTTTCTATTGTTTTATCAATAAATGTATAACATAATCAGTAAATGTACTTTGTTCATTAAATTTCCCAAACTAACTGTAGGGCCTGAAAATAATGAATTTTGATTATTGTATGTATCGGAAATCATATTGAAATCGGAAATTTAGAACAGTTCTGGGAATTTTATCAGATTTGGTAAAAATATTGGTATTGTTCCATCATGAGTAATAATCCAAATAAACATTAATGTGTGCCAATTAAAGCTTCAAAAGCTTTTAAAACATCATTTTGGACAATAGAGAAATTGGCTTGTTTGTGCATTTTGGTTTTGTTTTTATAATTACTTAAAATGGTTTTTCACAATACAGTCAATATAAGTATTGACCCATAAAATAACATATTCAATAAATATTCTTTTGACATGGAGACAACCACATAGAATTATAATAAAATTGGTAATATTTCAAATCTTTAAAATCTGATTAGATTGTTTCAATCATACACATTTATTTTTACTCAATTTCATAAAACTACTGGTTTATATAAATGATTAAATTAAAAACATTTTGTACAGGATAAACTTGATTTATTAAAACTAAGGGATAAATATATAACAGAATTAATAATTAATATTTTGTATCATTTTGAAAGATACAAAGCAAATAACCCCTTTCCTTTTTGCAGCAAATAGTTAAAAATGTACTTAATACCTTATAATATAAAATAATATGAGTAATTTTCTTCCAAAACATATTTAAAATGTTATAAGCAAGCAAACAACCACCAAAATATCAGTATATAAATGTAATTTTAAATAAAGAAAATGTTGCTGCAAAAGTTTCTGCCTGCCCACCAAATCAATTTACAGACAGTCACCCCTCTACAAGCTCTTTACTTCATCAGTGGTGCTGAAATGTTATACAATAACATGCCAAATTTTATTGTAAAAATAGTATGTTCATGAAACATGATTACATATGCTCCAAATATTACTCTATGTGTTATAAACATCATAGAAACCCAGCCCATTAGATTTTTAAAAATTGAGAACTTGCTTTTAAAATCAGAGCTAAATACTAGATTGATACAAAAGATTCCAACAGTTTTTTTTTTTGACAATTTTCATTTATTTATAACCTCATTATTCAATGATCAAATTATTTTAATGACCTAGTGTCACCTTTCAAATAAGCTGTGTACGTCATCATAAAAATATGATTACCATTTTGATTTGATGGATTTTCCCAGCTATATTAATTGTCCTGCATATGCAGTAGGAAGACAGGTTTTTATTCTACACCAGTTGACCTCCTTGCTGAGAAAAAGAGTTTCTTTCTCTTCCATTTCATCAAACAATTTAACTGATTCAACTTTGATGAAAATTCAAGTGGTTTTGAGGCTGCATATTGTTTCAAAAGTCCCTCCAATACATAAGTTTTCAGGTTCTAGAATCTTCTTATGTTCCCTGATATGCAAACCATCTCTGACAAATGATCACACCTACTGCATTATTGTTATAAGCTTCAGACATCCACTGCCTGGCTTCCTCCCCTCCTACCCCCAACACACACACACCCAATATTAAACATAAAACATAAGAGTAAACATATTTTTATAATCAGTTATCATTTTCAATAAAGAAAAGCAAACATTATCATTTATCAATTTAAATAATTCCTAAAGAGTGTGTACATGTAAGTAATAAAGAAGTGAATAAACTTCAAAGACATTTCTAAGATTTCCCTTAAATTATACAAAAGATGTTGCTGGAAACTTATGTATCAACCTAATGAAATAATATCTTAACTAAAAGCAGTTCAAGTAAAAAGAAAAAAAAGTGAATCCAAGAGATAAAGGCTCAAAAGTAAGTCCATTAATTATTACATTGAAATGACTGGTTGGATTAAGAGATTATTTCTTAATCTAATGGACACATCTTATGAAAAAAGGAGAGAGGAGTACTTCAAATCCTACTATTTCCAATAAAACTATATTTTTAAAGATATCACAGTATCTCTCTTCATATTTAAACATTTTTTATACACAAAACTTTTTTGCTATATGGATTTAAAAATCTCAAATTTTGGAGGAAAAAAAGATAAAAAAAAAAGTCTTAGTCAGTACAAGAAATTGCATGTAATATAATTTAATAAATCATATTCACCAAATTATGACAAGCAGTTTTCAATTCTTTTTACTATACAAAGAAATACTTGAATTACTAATAGAGTTCAAGGACAAGCATCCAACATGAACAAAAAATTAAGAAAAAAAACTTCCAGAGATTAAAATTTGTCTTCTTCATCCTCAAGAGCCTGTTCTTTTATGATATCATCCTACCAATTAGACCACAAAGGTTTCATAAAATGTCAAACAGACTGCAGCCTCATTCCTTCCATTACTCAATTGTACCTTTGCTGTTCAACTTATTACATAAGTAATAGTATTATAGATAATAACAGAGATGCACATAAAAACCATAAAGAATGCAGTAACTTTCTTATATGTGCATTCCAGGGATGCATTAAAGTTTCCCATGAAAAGAGATACATTGCACAATAACCAATGTCACTGATAACAATATGAATAACATTTAACAGGGCTCAAAAAAATGTCTTAAAGAAATTTTCCTGTATGGGTTGTAATTTTAAATAATAAACACCACATTAATCATTTGATTTTATACTTTCAAAGACTTTTTATGAGTCCGTCCTTTCATTTTCACTGACTCTTTTCTTCTTTTATCGAACAGTGAGATGTGTGAGTCGGTATGAAATGAATATCAATGTCAGCAAATTCATGGTTCAATTTTTTGTTTTTCTATTTAATTTTTAAAAACTTTCATTCTTTCAATTTTCAAAAAAGACTTTGTTCTGTCATAATTCCAAAAAAATATAGTTTTTTAATTGAATGGTAATTAAGTGTAAATACTGTTTTTGTTTTAAATTTGTCCTGTCAATATAAAAACTGTCATAATTCTCAAGAAATATACTTTAATTGTTTCTTTTGTTTTGCCATTTAAAAAAAAAAAATACTTTTGTCACGTCAATTTAAAAACTCTCTCTCATAATTCTCAAAAACACATGATTGAACAGTGATTAAATGTAAATATTGTTTTTGTTATGAATCTACAAAGTAGTTCTGTCAATTTTCAAGTGAATCAAAAAATTAAAATTGTTTTTTTGGGAGAGTGATAAAAACAAACTTAGTTTTTAGTTTAACACAATTTGTTAAGAAACTTAAGGTGGGATCCATTGAATTTCCGTAATAATCTTCAAATTTCTTACACTGTCAATTATTATTACTATCTGACTTACTTTTTTCATCTTATTTCTGTGATTTATTTATTGTAATTCAGTCATTATTCTAGGACCATTAAATAAGACAACACAAATTAGAAATAATGAAGATGCTTCTTAATGGTTGAAAAAAAAAAAAAATCTAAGTTTTATTTTTCAATGCAATAGTCAAATAATTCTTTGTATTTTGCATATAAAATCCAACCTGAGTGTTAGGTTTCTTTTACAAATACAAAAGGACCAATAATTTGAAAAATACTGCTGACAATCAAAATTGTTACTGGGCTAGCAAAAAAAAAAAAACCTTGGTATGTAATTGGAATGAAATAGCATAAAGATCATTTAATTCATTCAATATTTGTCCATGTAAATTCATTCAAAAAGATTGTCTTTTGACAGTATTATGGCAGCTGTCATAGCAGCCTGACCTTTTCAAAAATTGTCATATTTCTGCTTATTGAATTTGAAAGAAAACAACATTTTTAGAATATTGTTCTTTTTTTATTTATTTAAGAAAAGAAAAAGTAAAACTGCAAAAATGATTTGTACAGTTTATAGAAGGTAGCCATGTCAAAAATGTAAATCAATTGTGCCAGCTTGATTATGTTAGCTGCTTTGATGTGTGGCTTCCATACAAATTAAGTGAAAAAAAAAAAAAAAACATGGATCCTATTTTTGGAATTATTTACTACTTAAATATAATTAAAATGTTCTGTTTTTTTTTAACAAATTGTGAGGAGGTGATGTGAATACTTTACATCAATGTAGAATGCAAGCAAAATAAACCATCACAAATCATACCAAAGGTACATATTCATTCAAAAGAAGGTGATATTTTGTAGATGGCAAAATTAGAACCAATGCCTCTACTATAGGTTCCTTACAGAGAAGCAAAGAATTGATTAAAAAAAAAAAAAATGATAGTTTCAAACAGACGAGTTGAAGGCACAGATCATCCTGAATTAGTTCAAGGATTCCAAATTCTATGATGATGATGATAATAATGCTAAAAATCACATAGGATTTTGGTAATTCTATCTTGATTGGGAAGTTTTCATTCATCTTCCATATTCACAAGATATTGCACATTTGGATTACCATTTATATCATACAGAATAATTCTCTAGAAGACTACAAAAGGCACGTAACCCAGTTCTTATTGAGAAAGGTAATAGAATTCTGAGAGAATGGAGTTATGAAATTGGTTGAAAGATGGCAAAAGATAGTGAAACAAAGCAGTAAATGTTCTACAGACAAGTTAATGTTGAAAAAGAAAAAATGTATCTGATTCTTACGTAAATGAAACAAACATTCTGAATCCAATATTAAGTCATTAGAGACTGCAATAAGGACAAATTTATCTTAAAAGTTACCTTATATATAACATTTATATACATTAACACTTAACAAAACATACATGCTGATAAGAAATATTGAAACTATATATGGTCCTAGCTTTGTGAATATATTCCTTACAGTCTCTCTAAATCTCAAAGAAAACTGTTTTTTTTGTATTGCATAACTGAAAATTTTGAGTCGTTTAAAAAAAATTATCAAACTTTATACAAGGTGGTGCAGAAATGAACTTTGCCTGAACAAAGAGGGATTAAAAAAAATCTAAAATTTGGTCAGATTATGGGTCAGGCCAAGAACTTTTCAGCACCTTGTAGTAGTACAATTACTTTTCAAGGTCAGTCAATCATTCACTTGGGTTATATTTTTTTTTCATATGACAAACAAAAAGTGATCATTTTAAATCTATGCAGAAATATCTATGTCTGTGAAAGTTTTGTAATATGCCTTTTTTGAATTCTGTTAATTTACAAGGTAATAATTTATAATATAGTGAATATATATATATATATATATATAATCTTGAATATTAGTGAATAATTGCACAATAAGATGCTTGATATATTCCAAGAATATGATAGTGAAAAATGCTTTATACTAAGTTTCATTATAATTGTTAAATGATTACAGATTAAATATTGTAAATGCAAATGAAAGTTTCATTAACTAACCACACACAGTTCTCCAGCTGTAAGTTCAACTAACATAAAATAAACATATGTAAATATGTAAAAGTTTATTCATTATCCAACAATACCAAATTTAAGAATAGCAGTTTTATTTCAAACAGGAAGACTTTATCATGAATATAGAAAAATACATTCAAAGTGGTCATGTTCTAAGTATCAAACCAATTTTAAACTACAAGTGGATGCTGAAAAGTTCTCTGCTTGACCCACTTCCCAAAATCTGACCAGATGATCAAACATCAGATTTTTTGGAAGGTCATCTTACTCAAGCTGAGATCTTTTCAACACATGCTCATAAATTATTCAGACAAATGTAAGAAAACAGCTGTAATAATTCAAATTTACCTACTTTCCAATTATAGACTTTTGTGGATACACAAATCCTCCTATTTTTCTTTCTTTTTAAAATTTAAATATTGATTTGTTTTTTGTTTTTTATAGCTGAAAACATTTGGGAATTCTACCTCATCTATTTATCTTGAACAGGTTTTATTTTAAAAGTTTGAGAAAAAAATGAAGCTTAATTTACTCTAAGCACTTTTACTTTTGAACCCTTTTATTTCTATTGACTAGTCATTAGCTGTCTCAATTTTTTAAAGCATTGTCATTAAGTCAAATGAAAAAAAATAAGAAATGAGTATATAACTAAGATCATGTAATTTTAAATGATAAATTAAAATTAATTTCCATGTTAAAACTCCTCCATATTTTCCTATTGCCCAAGGAACAAAATTGCCTTCAAGAATGGTACGCATAAAACCAAGGGAAAATGAATCCATAAAATTCAAATAATCAGCTAAGAAACAAAATTTACATTAGTTTTCTACATAATTTATATTTTTTCCAAATACAACTGACTCATAAAGGCTCCAAAGGAAAATCAAATCCAGTGATTTTTAAACTACAGAAAAAAAAGTAAACTAAATCCTGATGGAAGGAAATTAAAAAATGCAGTTTGTTGTTTAACAAACTGCATTTTTTAGTTTCCTTAGTTCAAAAGGGAGAACTAGTTGGAGCTTTCTTTTCAATGATGGCATATTTATGCATTTTGTATAAAAATAATAATTAAATTTACAAAATAAAGATCAATTCTGAATAATGTTGCTATTCATATCACAAAAATTTATAACTTATTTTTTCTAGACAATTAAATTCTGTGTGTCTAAAACTGTCTTCTTGCATGACTTAAGCAAAAAAAAAAAAAAGAGATTTTTTTTTCTTTATCCTTTGTGGGCGTACACTAGTAGACTTAGAGTCACATGCAAGGCTTTTTTTTTGTTTTTAAAACCACTTCAAATGAAGACAGTACAAAACATTAATTAAAAACTTCCAGAAATTTCTGGTGATAAGTGAGGAAGCCATGTGGCATGTGTTATTGTTATGCGTTGCTTTTTTCGTCAAATTTTGAAAAATATTTAAGGAATTTTACACAGATTTTCATTTCGATTTATTTTTAAAGTTTGTTTAAAATTTAAACAAACACTGGAAACTCGTAAAAGATTCATTATTAAAGTGATGAATTAGTTTAAATTTTGGTTCTTTAATTCTCAGTAAATAATTACTTTTATTTAATTTGTATATTATTTATTTACAAACACGTTAAGTGTAAAAATGTAACTGATTATCATCACTAAATAAAAGATTATACGTTGCATTCAACAGAAAAAATAAAACGAAAAATTTAAACAATAGTTTTTAACAATAGTCCTCCAAGTTCGAACTTCGATTTGTAGAAAATAAAGAAATCATTTTACTTTGAGTGATTATTTAAAAACTTAAAACTATTCAAACAAACATCTGAATTGGAGATTCCTCCCTAAGACTTCTTTTTTAAGCGGTTTTAATAAAATATTTCTTTCAGCAATGTACATCCGTTTACTACAGGTGTGTATTTCATTTTCTGTCTTTCTTGTCCTTGGACAGGTGTTTTATTGTTACGCCATCATCCTTCCAACTTCTACTCACATTTCTTTTCCGTCACGGTTTAATTTTTTTTTTAAAGTGATCAAAAAAGCAAGACAATGATAAATCACAACTAGAATCCTTAGATAATATAATATTTATTTTAAATTTTCAAATTCCTAACAATAACAATGTACCTAACAGAGACGTTGATTAGGTTTAAGTTAAAGTACCTAAATAAATATGCAAAGAATGTAGTAATTTACCGTGTTAGTTTTTTACTTTTAGCCATATTTATATATTTGAAAATAAATATACCTACTCACTATTAGAAGAAAATGTTAACTTGATAAAACAAATGAATTTAAAATTATAACATTTCTATTTTTCGAAATGTCAGTCCAAAAATTAAAGTTCACGAAAAAAAAAAAAAAAAAACTTTAAAAACTGAATAAAATCGATTTGAAGTTGTAAGGTTCGAAGATTAATAAAAAAAACATCTCTTAAATAAATCTAAATTATAAGTTAAATGTTCAATATATAAATATTTTAATGAATTAAAAGAAAAAAATAAGCAGAATAAATTATAAAGAGAAATGCAACCGGTAATTTTTTTTTGACCAGGTCAAGAAAAATAACGACATTTCTTAGCAATAAAAAAGTTTAGCTTTAAATCCGTCAACATTCTCCATATTCTAAAAATCAGAAGATATTTTTAAAACCTATTGTACGTCAAATATAATTATTGTATCGAATTAATAAAAAAAAGAAACGAAATATACAACTAAATAAAAGACTTTTGCTTACCTTGGCTTTCGCTGTTCATACTTTCCGCCATATCTGAACTATTCAAAATACTACAATCTGATTGGTCAATAAACAACAATGACGAAACGGAAGTGAACTTTGAACTTAACTGAAGTTGACACTGGGCTTTTTCACAAACAAAAACAGTAAAATAAACTCAATTCATTTTATTTTTGTTCATTTAAAAACAATTGTGTGACAACGAAACTTATTTCTATCAATCTCTTAATTGGAAATGTTTCTTTACTTGAAAAAGTAAAGTGAAAAGCTAAGCATTTTAAGTTTTTTAAACTGTTTCGTGTCTTTCTTTCTCCTTCAGAATAGAAAAGAAAGGATGATAAAAAAATAAACTGAAGTGAATGCCGGAAAAATTGAACAAACAAAAAATCTAACTTTTTTTTTCAGGGATTCAGTCACCCCGATATGAAGAATGATTGAAACTGACGCGTTAGTGCTTTGCTTACAGTTTTGCTAAGACACTTAGTTTCAAATTAAAAAATAAAAACAGCTACGAAGAAAAAGTAAAATAGATCGGGAGAAAAAAAAATTAAAAAAATAAATTATTTATTAAATTTTCTAAAAATGTCCATTGTTTTTATTTGAAGACTTGATGGGAAATAACACTTTGACTAAAGTTTTTCGATTTAGTTCGGCTTTAGATTCAAGCCAAAAAAACTCATGATTTTTTTTTTTTTTTTTTTTGCATCTCCGTCCAGTTCATTTTTTATTCAAGAAATAAATGATATACACTACAGTAGTGTAACCCGGATATAAGAGAGTTGTCGGGGCCGGAGAAGAAGTCTCTTATATTCGGGTTTATCTTATATCCGGGTTTGGTCTGTTTTATATACATTAACACAGGCTCTAATTTGGGTCCAGAGAAAATCTCTCTTATATCCGGGTTTCTCTTATATCCGGGTCTCTTATATCCGGGTTACACTGTAATAATAATATCAAATAACAGTTGAGTTGAGTAATATGACATTGACACCCATATTTTTATTTAAAAATAAAATAAACACACTTGCTTGGAATGGTGAACAATATTGAACAATAATATGTTCTTTGCACACAGATGTAAGTTAGTTAGTAGCGTGCGATGGGATAGTAATAGTACATAATGCAAAAAAAAACCCCAAATAAATTTGTTCCACCGGCCATTAATATCGATCTCTATTGTTTTATTGACAGGTCGCATGGCTACAACCACAGTATGAATGAATTTTTTTTACCACACTAAGTGTGAATGACGGGTAAGAAGCTTTCTCTGCCTACGGTCGGAGAGGAACCTACGTGAAGGGCAGAATCTCGCTTGGAGGTAGACAAACCCGACCCCGTGTACGGGATCTACGGGCAATTTTTGCTTGGACCCCCCCCCCAACTTTATAAACTGGCCTTGTGCCACATCTTGCCTTGTGGGCAGGTTGGTAAAAAAAAAGAAACTGTACACAGTGTACATTAGACTGTACTGTACAATCTCTCTGTCGTGTAGTCTCTCTCTTGTCGATGTTACTTTTTTTAGTCGATGAGAACTTTTCTTTTATTTTCTTCCTTTATAAATTTATTTTAATTAGGAGCCACAAAAGTCCAAAATGGATGTTTTTTTTTTCCAAGATGAAAGCAAAATATCGCCACCCACTGTTCTAATATTTGCCAAGATTCGAGGAATTATCCGGTTTCATTAATTCCCGGGTTTCGGTACTACACACAACTAACTGTGACTGTCCTATCGGGTTGACCCAAATTCTCTGTAAAAATTTATTTATTCATTAATGAATTATTAATAATACTACTGAATAATAGGTTATATTTTAATTTTATTATAAAACTTTGTGGAGATATTTTTATGGGGTCTCAACACCATCACCCACTTTTCAATATTTCGTGTGTACTTTTTAATTTGATGGGTGTTCGTCATTTTTTTTTAAAGAAAAATCCCTGAAAATGTTATTTGAGTGAATAAAAGAATTATGCAATAAGTAAGTGTAAGTAAAAACATACAAAAAATTCATCTCGAATTTTATCAAAAATATTTCAATAAAACTTGAAAATAATTTTTCTTGACTGTTGCATTCATGCCATAATTTATTAAAACACGTTATTTTCTTTCAGATTTGACAAAAAAATATAGATTTTTTTTTTTCCAAAATTACTTGTGGTTTTTCAGAGCGATTTTGAAATTCATCCCGTTGTTGTTCGTCGGAAGTTTTTTTTTTATTACACAAAAAGACACGATTGAAGAATCGAAAAAATGTAAAGTTTAAATGCCATTTTCGAGTGTGAACGTTTTTTTTATTTTTTTAAAGAATTTTTTTTCCTTTTAGCAATCGTACATTATTTTTTATATGGATGTTCAAACAGGAAATAATTCTGAATTGACAACTCTGACTTCTTTTCCCTATCGGAAGAGTAATATGATAATTCATTCATTAACTCTTAAATTCAGAATAATTTTAAAAAAAAAACACATTGGGCGCAATTTGATAGTTTATGACATCAAACAGGTGCGAAAATAATAATAATAATAATAATAATTAAAAAAAAAAAAAATGTATTAAACTTAAAGTATCATTTAAAAAATACTTCCAATGTAGTACAAAAAATAAAATTATTAATTTAATTTCATAATATTGTATAAAATAAAAATTATATTCTTAGACTATTGGTTATTAAACATAAATGCCAATGTCTTGATTATTGCACTCCTGATGTTTACTTAATTTTTAATTTTAATTTTTTTGCGCGTTTTTTAAGTTATGGGTGTAATTATACATTTTTTATTTTTGAATTTTTGAACCACAGGTGATCGTATGTAAATAAGTGTTATCTACATTAAGTTTTAAGTAAAAAAGTATATACATTACTCTTGACTCTTGAGTCTTGACTCTTGCCAAGCCCTGTTAATTCTCAAATTTACTTCGGAACTTATCTCTAGGATGCATAAATATTGGATTTTTAAGAGATTTTTAAATTGCTTAATTTTATTTTTTTTTTTTAGTGTCTAAAACTTTACTGTTGATTTACCTTACGTATATTGTTTGCTCGATAATTAGTTCATTTTTGGCCTGTTCCTTTTTCTTTTTATTGTAATGTAAACTTTGTTAATTCTGTTTGTTTGTTGGACAGTTCTGTTATTTATTTTGCATTTGACCGTGGCTACTGACTCCATAGAAATTAATTTTTCTTTTAATTCGTATTAGCTTTGGGCAATTTATCTTTCAAATAAACAAAAACCGAAATTTAAGTTCAAAGAAGACATTTAAATATCTGTCTATATCTCTGAGATGAGGTATTATGATTACATTATTCGGATGTTTATCCTCATCTTCATTGCCATATTCACAACGTTTCGGCCTTTGTACGCTCCGGCCTTCTTCAGGTGGTTGGAATTTCGTGCCGGACCCTATATTTCGTCCACCGGAGTAGATTGTTCTAGTTCCACGTACCACGTCTCTTACGGATGTGTCAGTTATTTCCCTTTAACTCAACTCTTCAAGTTTTGGTTCACTACTGTTGTGGCCCGGTATTGAACTTTGAACTCTTTGGGTCTAGTCACTAACCAACGTCTTTATCGACTGGGCCAAGGACACATGGTTAGATCCAGTGAGTTTAATACCAGGCCACAGTAGTGGTGAACCGAAACAATGAGGTTTCGATTCGAAATTCCAATCACCTGAAGAAGGTCGGGGCGTACAACGGCAGAAACGTTATGGCAATGAAGATGAGGATAACGGTCCGATTTAATAATGTAAGTAAGTCATTTTTAAATTATTTAAAATGTGTTTTTACTTTTTCGTGTTCTTTTAGAAAGTCCATGGCGGTGTGGCGATGTGCCAGAGGTTTTTAGTATTATTTATCAATCATCGGTAACTTCGGAATAATCAAACAAAATCAAAGGGATATAAACAAACAGTGTTATGTTTATTTATGTAAGAAAAATTGTAATTCGGGTTGGTGAAAGTTCGTTCGGCTGGCTAGTTGATAATTTACAAGTCAGACCTTGGTGCCATTGTGGGTATGGTTACTTTGGAAACTTGTTGGCTGACGTCAATCTGCTGTTTTCTTAACCCCACAGAAGGACGGAAATAATTCTTAGCTTCTTCACGCTACAGTACACACTTCGCTGATTTCCTTGTCCTTTCTCGTTATTTACCTTTAGCCCTACCAACCAACCCACCCACCCACACTGAGTCACGATGCGACACGTCAGTTTATTTTAATGTGGGGAAACATCAGACCGGAAAGTCTGCTGGTTTTCTCTAGTCTTTGCTAGTCATAGCCAGTCAACCTGCTACAGAACAGATCGAGGATCTGTTCAGGCAGCGTAACGGGAGTGGGGTGGGGTGAGGTAGGGTGTAGTAGCCCTGCACGGAACAGATGCTGAAGCAGTATCAACCCCAAGGGGAGCTGCTCAAGCAACTGTCGCCTATCACTTTATATACACTTAAGAAAGGGTACCAGACTAGATGGCACGATAATTTGGTTTTGGCTAACATCAAAAGTCTCCTTGTTTTGCTTTTTTATGTTTCTTTTTTTTCTGATTGGCCAAAATTCTTTTATTTCTATCATTCTTTCCTTTTTTCCTTTTTTATAGCGGAAGTTATGCGTGAGCTGCTCTTATTTTGGGAGATTTCTAGTGACAGTAACTCGACCCTGGACCAACAAACTTCCGCCGTTTTACAGCCGTGATCAGTTTTTTCTTCTTCCTCTTTTTATTTGAGGGTTGCCTTCTCATTAGTTGAGAGAGAAATACACAGAGAGAAATGTAGAAAAGAGATAGAGAAAAAGAGAGCTTAGATTTTAAAGGAAAGCAAATTACTTATTTTAATTATTTTTTTAATATATTTTATTTTCATATTTTATTTATACATTACAACGCACAGAGAAAAAAATTCAATAAAAACTCAAAATTTCAGGCAAGAAAAATACTAAAACGAAGTCAATACAAAATGTAATGGTATTATTTTCTTAATTGTGGACTTCTAGAACTGCAGAATGTAACCAAACGTTTATTTCCGT